TAGGGAAAGGAAAGCCTAAGGGGAGAGAATTTTAAGGTGGTAGAGGAGAAAAGGAGAAAAAGCCACGAGATGATGAAACTGGGGACATAAGAAGGCCGTCCTACTCAGTGTAAGAGACAATCCCACAAGGTTTATAGCTTGAAAAGAGAGAAAGGAGGCCTGAGAATAAACCACAAATCAAGGAAGGGAGAAAGTGGGGAAAGACCCTAAAAAGAGTAGGAGATACAGCAAAGGGGGTGAAGAGATATATTCCTAAACTTTAAAGTAGGAGAAGAAAAGAATATCCAATCTGTCACCACCAGCTCTTAGAGGGAAGAAAAGAGGAGGTTAAGATGGGATACGCATATTCTCCCCAAGGTGCAGAAGAAAAGATACCTTCAAAGAAGAGCAGAGAAAGTGGGGAGAGAAGAACCAAGCTGAGAGAAATGGCTGAGGAGAAAAACACCCAAAAAGAAGTTGGAGATGCATAGAGAGAAACAGGAATAGTAGGGGGAATATGGAGAGAGGTTTAGAAGGAGGAACTTTTCTTTCTTACAATGAAAGTTTGAGGTTGAATATTGAAGTGACCTATTGCAATCTCTGAGCCTTAAAAAAAAAAAAAAAAAAAAAAAAAATCATGAATGAGGCCTGAAAATGTTAGGACAGTTGCTTAAAAATCATGCAAATATTAAAATAAAAAAACATACATAGGTTTGTTTGTATTTGGCTTCTTTGAGGCTTCAGTGCTCATGTTTTCAGGCTTGATCTGCAACCACAATGGTTTGAGATCTAACTTTCATTAAACTTATTCCAGTTTCATTTATTAACATGTCTCCAAGAGCTGAGGCGTTAAGAAAAAAAAATTAACACCAAATACCAAGAATGTAAAAAAAAAAAAAAATGCTAAAAGAGATGGCAACAGTAATAGCTAGCTAGCTATCTGCATAATTCTTTAGGAAAAGAGGAAACTTCAAAGCTGGCTTGAGAACAGTAGGTTTGTATGGCAGTGTATAAGTCTGCACAGTAGGCTTTTACTTATTTCAATACAACCCCTTGCTTCTATCAAGTGACCTATACACATTTCAGCAGATTTTTCTCTGCAAAAACTACCACCACCATATTGAAATTAAGGGAACAATGAGACAGTTTACAGTAGCTGAGAGATTGCTCCAAGCTTGACTGAAAATTAATACATGCCTAGGGACCTACTTAATTTGCAGTTTTCTGCAATTTTGCAGAAATAGCAAAATCCAGGATTGTCCATGAAATCCACAAAATCTTCAAAATCAACAGCAACAAAAAAACTTAACCTTGGGTCCTTGCTGTCAGGAAAAGAAGGCACTGGCACGCGGGGTAACACAAAGGGCAGCAGACAGTATGGCGTCTGTCCCCTCGTCCTCCTCTGACCCTCTCTCAGTCAATCAGTGCTGAGGGATGGGGCTGCAAGAAGGGCAGCCAGCGATCAAAATGGCAGCCAGTACTTTGTTCCTCTTCCCTCCCCCCACCACCCCAGGCCTCTCCACCAGTCATCCTCAGAGGTGGGACCACCATGAAATAGCCACAGAATTAGAACTTTACACCAAAATCAACCCGTGAAAATTGTTTTCACGGTTTCATAGTTTCATAGTTGGTAGGGTCGGAAGGGACCTGAGCAGTTCATCCA